TACTTACATACACAAACACTACAGGATTCACATGAGAAATTACTGAGTAACTGATGCTTTTTAACATCACGCAGTGTTTTATAGAGTAATCCAAAGTGAAAACCATAATTTATTTGTGTATATGTTTAAAGTGACAAGATAGTTTTTTTTTGTTCTGTTTTTGAGAAGTAGTAGGATCATATTCAATGTGTACTTCTTTCTGTATTAACAGAATTTGAGATTTTTTGAAAGGCAAATATCACTTATGTATTAAACTCTGAAATCACTTCTTCCTTGCTCTGCCATTGTTCCTAGTGCTTATGTTAAATCATATCATCAATTTCTGCTGTGTCGGGTCTGGGAGAGGCCTTTGTACTAGATTGGCTTCCCTCGTGTCCACTGTGCCCCACAGTCTAAGAACAATGACATGGGAGATGAATGAGTCAAGTCTGGGTGGAGGGGCTGTTTGTGCTTGGTATGTGACAGGAGGTGGGATCTAGCTGAGCAGTGTGAGTCACTGGAGGGTAGCCTTGGGTCTATACCTTGACTCCTTCTTTCTCTCTTTGTTTTTTGGCCACCATGAAGTGAGCAGCTACCTCTGTTACATGCTCCTATGACCATGATCCTCTGCTCAGGGTCAAAGCAACACAGCCAGCTGATCACGACTGAAACTCCTAAAACCATGAGCCAAAATAAATATTTCCTCCTGTAGATTACTTTTCTCAGGTATTTTACACAGTGACAGATGGAATTAAATAAGAAACAGAGTCTTTAGTTATAATGACCAAACTAGGAAATAACCCAGATGTCTTTCAACAGTAAAATGGATGAAGAAATTGTAATGTATCCATACAATAGAATACTATTTAAGCTGGGGATTTAGCTTACTGGTGCCACCACCTGCCTCGCAAGTTCAAGGTCTTGAGTTTGATCCCTGGTTAAAAAAAAAAAAAAGAAAAGAAAGAAAGAAAGAAAAAGAAAAAAAGAATACTATTCAGCAATACAAAGGTACAAACCACTGAAGTACCTAGCCTGTGTGAATCTCACATACTTTGTACTGAGTGAAGTGGCTGCACAAAAAATAATATATATTGTGTGATTTAAGCAAATGAACCTATGGTGAAAAAAAAATCAGAACAGTAACTCTCATCTGTCAGCACAAAATGATGCCAGAAAGGAACACAAGATAATTTTCTAGAGAAGATGAAAGTATTCATAAAAGTAGTGAAGATTATATAGGTGTATTTGTTAAAATGATATAGTTACAATTTATGCCTTTCAATATACATGTGTACTTCTGGGCTCACAAAAAGAAGAGCTTTAAAAATTAAGTTTTGGAGATAGTGAATAAGTTGAAATGTTAGAGAAAAAAAATAGCACATGATTAGTAATTATTGAAGCTGAGTGACAGGTCTCTTATTTGGTTTATTTTATGTACTTTTAACATTTTCTGTAATAAAACATTTGTTTAAAAAGTCAAAATTGGCCAGATGTGGTAGTGCATGTCTGTAATTCCAGCACTTGGGAGGCTGAAGCAGGAAGATTGCCAGAAGTTTGAGGCCAGCCTTGACTGCATAGTGAGTTCAAGGCCAGCCTGAGCTACGTAATGAGATCCTGTCTTAAAAAACAAACAAAATAATAACAAGAAGTTAAAGTTGATCAATGATGTTAGCTGCTCCATTTCCTGGTTATGTAAAGGTGTTCACTTTGTAATATTTACAGTATTGCACTCTACACGAATGCCTTGTCTGTGCATTTCTATATGTATGTTATTCATCAATAAAAATTTAAACATTAAATATTGGCACAAAAATCCTAACTCAGTACCTGGAATAACATTGAAGTTTTGTTCTGCTTTAAATTGGGACATGTTGACTTAAGACCTCATTAGATGGATTTAATATTTTGAGGTATTTATTCATGTCCTGATCCTTGGGTAACTCTGTAGATCTTTCAGTTTTTATCTTAATTTGGTATGTAGTATAGTTTTGCTTTTATGATGCAATTTTTTTCCAGCAAAGTGTTTTCCCACCATGATGTTCACCAAGACTAGGATACCTTCCACAAAACTCTGAAGATGGTAGGACTCTTGTGGAACTGAGTTCAGTCAGGAACAAAATTAGTAGTAGAGGTTTGGTCTGCCAAAAGATAGTAAGTATATAATACAGATAAGACTGGAAAGCAGCTTTTTAAAAAACATTCATTTAAGAGACTATTTGGAAGTAGTCAAACAAAAGATGCTCACTTAAAGCAGTGGTGTTTGGGTTTGGCCTCACATTGCATCAACCTGGAGACCTTTAAACAGTTCTGTTGCCTGGGTCCTGGACAAGGTTTCTGATTTTATAGATAAGTTGAAATTTAGGATTGGAAGATTTTCCAAGCCTTTCCAGAATATTTTAATGTGGATCCAGGGATTGGAATCATCAGTTTAGGCTTTGGGATTCATTATCCATGCATGATGTCCATATATGTAATGGAGATTTACCCCATTGTAGCATCTCAGTTTTGGGTATTAGAAAACAACTTTGCTTGGCTAAAATCATCTAAGAACAGCTACCTTCAAGATGTACTTACCTGTGTGGCTAAATTTCAGCAGGAAAAAGTGTTCTCAGCAGATACTCCAAATCTCTTCATGTCATTTTCAGAGGAAGATGTTTCAGGCACAGTAATTTGGTTTTGTTTGTGTTGAAAATGATAAGTAGCCTGCAAATGCCAAAAAGAATGAAAATAATTTTCATGCCTGTGGGATCCATTACACATAGTTTCAAATTTCTTCTATGATGGAAAATGAAAAATACATTTTTGGTCCTCAGTTTCTTAAATTCAGTTATCAGCCATTTCCCAAGATTATTCTAAGTCCTTCCTATATCTTCAGAAACATTCTTTTAAAGGATATCATTCCCAATGGTGAAGAGTACTAGATGGACACAAATCCTGCTTTTTCAGTAGGTGTCACTGTCTAAGACCTAAAAGCACAAAATAAGTTGCTTTTTAGGAATTTGAGTTGTGGATGTTTGGTCTTTGGAGTCAGGCAGAGTTGATCCTGAGTCTTATCCCAGCTGCTTAATTGTGAGGCTGTAGACAAGTTCTTTGACTTGAAACAGTTACGTAAACTTCATCTACAGGGAAAGGCAGAATGCTGCTGAATGAAAGCATGCCAGCATTCCTTCTTTCCTGTATCCTTGACTTTGTCAGTGTGTCTTACTGCTATTCCCATTGAGATGCAGAATCTCTTCCCCAGACCTAGATTCTGGACTGACCTTATTTGCTATGGCCCATATAAAGCTCTGTGAGACATATTAGTTTGATACCTAAGCTGGAAAGATCTTGAGTGCCTATGCTTGTTCTTTCAGAACTCTGTTGTGTCCATGAGTACAAACCTGTATTAGCCTACTAGAGTATGAGACATCAAGGGAAAGTGAAACAAAAGTGCCTCCGTTTACAGCCAGTTCACCTAAATTATTGACCAGCCCATTCATGAGGCAATAAAAGTTGGGACAGCTTATTATCCAGTAATAGATAACTAGTATGCCCAGGATGCCGGGATTCAAGGACATGTAGATTGCAAATTATCTGGAAAATATTAGGTTCCATATAGGTACAGATTTCCTTTTCCCTTAATTTAATTTTGGGAGCCTTGTTAGATGGTGCTGAGTTAAACAGAAATGTATGTATAGAGGAGGAAATAAGACATCCACACTATGGCAAGGCCAAATTACAAAATAAGTTTGTAGACTCTGGAGTTCAAGGCTGTGGACAGGTCTGAACACAAGGACTTTCTTTCTCCTCCTGGGCTCATCTTCCTTTTTTAGCCATTTGAGCTCTGGAAGAGGGATGGTCTTGAACGCAGCAGCAGATGGGAGGCAGTAGTCCTTTCCCTGATCTATAGGGGCACTGACTCTGCCTCCTTAGACCTGAAGAGCTATGTATATTGGTAGGAAATGGGTTACCCTCTTCTCTGGCATAAAAGGGAGGAGCTTCACTTCACTGAGATCAGAGGAGACACAGCACTCTAAGCTGGAAATGTGTGAGATGTGCTGGAAGCTTAAAATAGTTTTAAAGATTTAGTGCATACATACAGAGTCTGCCCAAAAAATACAATTTAGGAAAAGGGAAAATTGTATAAATATTTTAATACTGAATTTATTGATCCATCACGAGATTAATACAAATTACTTTTGGCCTCTACAATTACAAGAGTGCTCAAAGTGGTGGCCTTCAGCTTTCAGACATCAGTATGGCAAACTGATGAAGTGTGTATACATTTTTTGGTGGACTCTATACTTCATTAATAAATTTATACTGATCACATATAATAATATTTTGGGTGTGCTGCATTAAGTTATTACAAAAATTTTACCTCTTTTAATGTGAAATTAAATTACACCTGTGTTTCACATTTTATTTTCATTGGATGTCAGTGCCCTAGGGAATTGCCTATCATTTCAAAGTTCAAGCGGCTTCCTGAGCAGATCAGGAATCAGAAAAGTTTATTGAATTTAAAAATAATTGTAATTATCCTAATCAATAGTCAATAATAGATTAATATAGTCAACACATATAATTCATGAATTGATACAGTCGATCTTATACACAAGGTTAAATGCAAAGGTCCCGCTGCTGAGCTAGGTTCCCACACTTGCAGGAGGTCCTGCTTTAAAACCGGGGCAGCCAAAGCCCCTGGGCTCAACTTCCGCTTCAAAAAGGAAAAAAAAAAGCTGCACCCCCAAACCTGCCAACCTTCTCGCATTCGGCAAAGGCTTGGTGTCGCCCACTGTTATTCTGGGGCGAGGGGGTGTGGTCTGAAGGCTATCCAATCAGAGGTTCCGAGGTGAGGCCTGCCCAATCAGGCACATAGCCAGAGCGGACGGGGCGGGCTTTCACAGTCTCGCGGGCCTTTGTGTGGAGCCCGCCAATCTTGGGATCCGCGTCCAGGTTCCTTCTACTCTGCTCGGGTGTCCTGGGTGTGCCAGGTGTCCCAGGTGTCCCTGCAGCAACCTTTGTCGTGCTGTTACTTGCAGAGGTGGAAGAGTCGCAAGGAGGACGCTGGCGACCCCAGAAATGGTGAGCTTGCGGTCCGGAGTTCCAGGACGAGGAGGCCGGCTGCTTGGAATCTTGGGAACCAGCTGTGCGGGACCAGGCCTCTCCGAGGTCCGCTCCGGAGTCTGCAGGTCCCAGTCTGCTGTGGACAGCTCGGCCTCGGTGTCCTTGGCTAGGGGTGAAACCTGGCCCCCGACCCCTCCCTGCGTGATGACCTCTCAGGACAGCTCGGCCTCGGTGCCTTAGGCCGGGGAGACACCCGGGCCCCTGTCCCCTCCCTGCGGGGTGGCCTCTCTACACCTGGGCCTCGGTGCCCTGGGCTGCAAGTGGGAACCGGCCCCCTGTCGTCTTCCTGCACGGTGACCTCTCTGGAAAGTTCGGCCTCCGTGCCTTTGGCTGCGGGTGACACCTGGGCCCCTGTCCCTTCCCTGCGCGGTGAGACATCTCTGGGCAGCTCGTTCTCGGTACCTTCGACACCCGGGTCCCTGTCCCTTCCCTGCTCAGTGACCTCTGTCCTTGCTGGAAGCCTCTCTGCCCCCCACCCTTCCCCAGATTGCGTGGTGCAAGAAGATCCTTGGGAGAATCCCGACTCCCTTGTGGGGTTCCTGCGTGGTTTTTAGAGTTCCCTTCACCCCAAGCATTGTCCCTGGAGCTTTCTAAATGTACGAGAAGCAGGGTCTCAAACCCAGAGTCCTGTTTCTGTAGTGTTTCCTCGGTCTTAGCATAAATTCCCAAAATTTCAGCTTCTTGCCAGAATTCTATAAGGCCAATTTCCCCTTTCCACAACATTATCAGTTACTCATTCCTGATTCTGTGTTTCAAACACTGTGTTTTGTTATTTTTTTTCTCCAAGTATTGGATGGCATTTTAAAAAGCATTTGTTTTCTGTTGTGAACATTTCATAAGATCAGAAAGTAGAAGGATATCACTTTACCCCTTGCAAGAAATTTGTGTCAGTGTCTCTCCTGCTTTTGTCTAGGATGTCTTCTGGTTAAGAGACTTTACTTTTACTCCTGGAGACTTTGCAGGGTAAAGTATCCACAGCCTACCCTTCCATCTTTCAGAACTGTCCACCACTGCTGTACGGTGGTCTCTCGGAGGGTCTAGTGAATATTTTAGTCCCTGGTCCTCTCCAGCTTAACAGCCTGCTGTGTGAGGTCTAAAGAACTGCTGGATGCCCTGAGGCTGGAGGAATCTGGAATACCCTTCTGTAAGAGGCTCCTCAGCTATTTCCATATCTTCGCTACTGTGAATAGTGCTACAGTGAGCTGAGAATGCAGCCATCTCTTCAACATTCAGATCTCATCCCCTTTGGTTACATCCCCTTATTTAGGGTCGCTGGATCCTATGGTAGTTCTAGTTTTAGTTCTTTGAACAATCTTAACATTACACTCCCAAAGGCTGTATTGTACTAACTTTAAATTCACACCAACAGTGTGCTAGGTTCTCTTTTTTCCATACCCGTGTTCTTTGGAATACCTGGTATTTTCCAGTTTTTTGATAATGGCCATTGTAACAGCTGTGCTCAGGCTGCAGGAGGTCTGCTGTTTGCTACGTTGCGTCCATCGTACAAAATAGCTAGAATCCAGACTCTGGTGGAGCCACTGGAAGGGTGTATGGTAAACCTCTTCCAGGAGTACACAGGAATCTGTGCTTGTAATTCTTTTCTGTGCTACTGCTGGTGGTTGCAGCTCACGGAAGAGCTTGCATATCCATTGAAAACCATTTATTTCTAATATAGGGAGATTTACACATGCCCAGTCTTCTGTGCTCCCAGAGCTTGGAAGTTTAGCATGCAGTCTTTTGAATGGAAAATGTTAAAAGATGTTAAAAGTTGCAACACTCAGTGCCGGGATGAACTCCTTTCAGGAAGAACTAATAGACCAGAAGTTATCACTGGGATGAGCTGGAGGAGCTGGCTTGGAAAGTGCTGAGCTCCCAGTCGAGGGAAAGTTTGTAGTTTGTGGATTCCAATAACCCATTGATTTTGGCTAGATAGAAACTCAGCTGTCATCAGCATTAATTGGCACAGTGTGTTGGCAAATTCCTTCCAGACAGAAACTAAACTGTTGTGTTTTAACCCTTTCTCTGCCCTGGCCCAGGCTGTGAAGCATGTGGAAGTACTTGCATGCCCTAGAAAACAACCGTTTTGTTCTGTGGTCTTGAGACTTTTGTATGCCTTGTGGTGTTCTCTTGTGGCCCCCTCCCTCCCCCCATGAGAGCTGAGATTCAAACCACAGGGATCTTTAGAGTTAGGGTGCTGTATTTGTTGTCCCACTCCTGTCTTCAGGGTGATGCTGGGTGTCAGGGATTCTCTCCCAATTATATGATACATTGTCTCAGGCAGGATTCATGTCTGAGCCTGCCTTAGCTTTCCCTATTCATTTGATGTGCTTAGTTTTTTTAGTTGCCTGGTGTTTAGAAGTCTCTTGCTTCATCTCTTCATCTGTGACACTCTCAGAAGTATTCTCACAGGTACTTTACACCCGAGTAGATGTTTATTCAGTGTATCCATGAATGGAGAGTCAGGGCCTCCTATTCCACACTACCTTTCCAACATTATCCCATTTTATTTATTTTTTGTTTTTGTTTTTGTTGTTTTGTTTTTTTGAGATAGAGTCTCACTGTGTAGTTGAGACTGACCTGGAATTCACTATGTAGCCCAGGCTGGTCTCAAACTCAGCGATTCTCCTGCCTCACCTTCCCGAGTGCTGGAATTACAGGCATGCACCATCACACCTGACTCCATTATCCCACTTTAATAGCTGCTTTTTGTGGTGGGGTGCAGGAATTTGAAACCTGGGCCTTTTACTTTGTGGACACATATTTTATGTCTTCCCTATCTATGCCTGTCAGGCCCAACATTTGCCTATTGATTGTGTTCAATCCATTCACATTTAATGTCATTCTCATATGGTTGGGTATATACTGGCCTTTCTGTTGCTTTTAACAATACAAATACTTCTTGTATGGATTCATCTACACATAGTGTTTGTATCACAGTTTCTTGATATTTAAGGTTTTTTGTTTGTTTGTTTGGAGTACTAGGGATTGAACTCAGGACCTTATGCTTGCTAGACAGGTGTGGCACCACTGAGCTACATCCTGGGCCCCTGATCTTTATTGTTAAAATCTTATACATTTATGGCAGGTAATGATAGCTACCCCTGCTGCTCTCATAATTCAGATGTTTTTTTGGCTAATTTCATTCATTTCTACCAGTTGCATTTTAGAATTTTTTGTTTTGATCCCTTTCCTTAAAATGTGTTGAAAAAAATTTTTTTGGTGGGATACTGGGGATTGAACTCAGGACCTTGCGCACCATAGAGGCAGGCACAGCACCACTGAGATAAAGCCCCATCCCAGAAATATTGATGGGGCATTATAGATTAATTTTGGAAGGGGGAAATGGTCATCTTTTTAAAGATGAGCTTTAAGTACACACATGGTGTGTATAGTCTAATCTTTATGTTTCTCTGTAAGTTTTTATTTTTAAAATAAATTTTGCATATTTTGTAAGATGTATAAATGTAAAATACCTCATGTATATGGCATCAATATAAGTTATTTAGCATTTTATACTGTTGGTTATAGTGGACATAAAGACTATAATGTGGTAGCACACAGAAAGTGTCTCATCCCTCATTATCTACTCTAGAATATGACGCCTCTGACCCCTTGTTCCTGGGTTTCAGTACTGCGACCAATGCTGCTATATCCTCGTGTGTTACTATCGTATGCATGTGCAGTGGCTCTGTAAGTGTATGCACGGTGTAGGGCAGTATCATGTCTCTGCAACAGCCAGTTTCCCTAGGTAGATAATAATTTGTACTCCAGATCGTGAGAGTTCAGTTGTTTCATGTCTTCATTGGTACTGTTGAGTTTTGCCTATCGGGTGTTATTTTGTTATATATTTCTCTAGTTTCTAATTAGGCTGAGCTTTCTTAATGATTATTAAACATATACCTCCTGTATGAAGTGGCTATACAAGTCTCTTACTTCCCTCCTTGAGTGTCTTTTTTCTACTCTTCTTAAAAGTTCTTGGTCATATGTGTGGGAATTAGTTTTTCCACTTGTTGGTTCTCTTTTTACTCTACTGATTTCATTTTTGATGAGTAGAATTTTTTTTCATGTAGTCTAATTTATGAATATTATATTTTAATACTGTTGTGTAACTTTAAAAAAAGAATTCCCTATAACAAACTTGGAATGCTTTATACTTTGCCTTTATATTTAGATATTTTACCTCTGAAAATGATTTATTAGGTGGTATAAGGAGAGGGTACAGTAGCATTTTTTGACAGATACCCCATTGCCCAGCAGCTTTTGTTAGAAAAGGTGTCTTTTTTTCTACAATCTCTGTCATTTATGTGTCTGAAACAATTGGTTCTTTTTTAAGAGTTCTGATTTAGTTTTACATATCATTTATTCATGTCGTTGAAGTCTACACTGATTGCTGTAGCTTTATAGCATACTACGGTTTGATGACATTTTGGTCTTTGGTGAAGTTCATACAAAAAGGCGGCTATAACATGTAACCTAGGTGTGAAGTGCACTGTACATTTGGGTTTGTATAGTAGGCACTGATGTTTGCACAGTGGCAGAATCACTCAATGATGCATTCTGTGTACATATGTTACAGTTATGAAGTATATATACTTGATGTATGAATTTTCCTTATTAAATTTATCAGAGCTCTTTTAGTTTCTTTAGTCTGTTAAAAGAACTAAGCTTTATCAAGATGTGATGGCACCATCTGTAATCCCAGGTATGGGGAGGCTGAGACAGGGGGATTGTGAGTTTGAGCCCAGCGTGGGCAACTAGCAAGACTTACAGTAAAAAAGAGTTCAGAATGTAGCTCTGTGTGAGGCCCTAGATTCAGTCCCCAGTTGGGGTGCTGGTGAGGCTGTTTAAATTCTGCTGTATATTCATTTCAGTAACTCTACGTGTTGTTCTTTTACTTGAATTTTTTCTTCTACTTTCGTTTTTATTACATTTCTCTTTTCTAAACTACTGAAACATAA